GGTAGACTATGGAACAGTTACCATGGGAGAGCTTATAAAGGAAAATATTTGAGAAGCATTTAACTCCGGCAGGAAACAATCACTCCAGTGGACTAATGGGCCATTCAAACAGCAGCTTCACTATCATGAAACCAGACCCATGTGGTGCCCAATGACTCTGAAAAGGATCACATTAGAACAGCAGCTCTTAACCTGTGGATCGCGATCCCGGTGGGATCAAACAACCTTTTCACAGGAGTGCTCCAATGTGTAACACTAGCAAAATGACAGTTATGAAGTAGTAACGAAAATAATTTTATGGTTGGGGGGTCACCACATGAAGAAATGTATGAAAGGGTCGCATGAGGAAGGCTGAGCACCACTGCAATAGAAGCTCCTGGACGAAGTAGACGAGAAACGTAGAAGAGAACGTAGAATCATGAAAGAGACGAGATGTAATGGTTGGATAGAGACTGGTGGAGTTCCCAAGGACTATGACCCTTAGTCACTCTTCAGATCTGTAACTGAATCCACCCCTTCTTAAAACAAATAATAATTTAATATCAAAAAAGGCAATATTTACAGAAGGACAAAGTTCAGAAGGTTAGAAAAGAATGGAAAGAGGAAACGGAGGAAGTGGGATAAGCTATGGTAAATTGAGGGGATTGCAGTCAATGCATTGAAAGAAAATGTGTATGATACAAAATTGATGACCTACTAGAGAAACAGCAAGTAGAATAAGGGTTCCTGGTGGGTACAGTGGGGGAGGGGTTGCAAAGGGGAGCTGAAATCAAGGAGTTCAAGAAGGAAAACAATGTTTTGAAACTGTGGTAGCAATTGTACAATACTGCTTGATATGGTTGGATTATAGGAATGATATCGGTACTAGTACCCAATAAAATGGTTTAAAACAATACTAAGAAATTCTGATTATGATAACACCACTTAAACACAAAGCTTATTTCGTATCTCTTTGCCACTAGCCAAAGGAGGAAGCATGACATAGGTTATAGCTTTGTCTAGGGAACCTATGTAATCATAAATCCAACAAACCAATAAAAATTCCCAACTCAGTAAAATGAGTTGTGGGGTTAAAGGGGAGAGGGAACCCCACAAAACATCACAGGTTCGGTAGGCGCAATTGTACAGCGATAATAGGTAGAGATTATAGTAAAGTCATAGAGAGCATGAGAGTTAAAGGATGGAGTCAAGTTATGGAGTCAGACACAATTCATGGTAGCATAGCTCACCTCAGCTCCGCTTGATGGTCCTCGTGGAGGGGACTTAGCCGCCAGAGTAGAAGCAGCTGCCTCGTCCTCCTCAGCCACCCTCCCGAGAACCAGGGAGCCTCCTTATTTATTGCTAACCATGCATATCACTTTAGGGGGATCTGATTACAGAATCATACATCACAGAAAGGGGCAGTACAATTCATCCTTGAACAAGTTTGATCACTGTGGTGTCTCATACAATAAAACAGACAATTACTATCCTGGGAGGCATGCAAGCCCCCGACAGCAGACAATACCTACGTCATAGGGAGGGGTAGCAACATAGGCAACACAAGCAATAGGAGGGGGATGACCTAGGGGTGTGCCCATAGGAATGGGAAGGACTAGGGTTACACACGTGACAAAATGGGCGGACCCTAGATTCATAATGGCTACCTAACCTTGGTCGGGTCTGACCTCTCTGGGAGCTCCTACAAGTAAACAGACAACTACTATCCTTATCAGAAGGGAGTGGGCCTTACTTGTTGTGGGATAAACAGTGGTGTTTACTTGTTCCAGATGTCTGATAGCGCTTAAGTAGAATGACCTTTAATCTACTCCTGGTGACTTCCAAAGTGTGGTTATTCTCAAGCAGCTAAGTCTGGATTTGGGGGAGACAGCTTGAGAGAACTCCTTCTGTTTCACACAATAAATAAATAAAACAGATGATCTGTTCTGTAAACCAGTGTTTGCCACTGAGCAATACCCCTAGGGGGGCTGGAATA